TGTGTGTGTGTGTGTGTGTGTGTGTGTTTTGAGACAGGGTTTCTCTGTGTAACCTTGGAGGTCCTCCTGGAATTTGCTCTGTAGACCAGGCTGGCCTTAAACTCACTGAGACCCACCTGCCTTTGCCTCCTAAGTGCTGAGATTAAAGAAGCCAACAGGCGGCCCCTTTTTCCATCTTTTAGTATGATGCGGACCCTGTAGCCAGATCCAACAAATACCAAACCCACTGTATCTGAACAATGTTGAATTTGCCAAGAATCTAACACCATTACGTTGAAACTTCGGACTTCAGAAGAGGAATCTGGGACAACCATACCCAGGTGGCAAAGCTACTGTGAAACAGTGTTCTGGGCAGTAGAGTGACCCCCTTTCCTTTTCTGTTTTTAATTAACATTTTTTATTTTATATATTTTTAAAGACAGGGTCTCTCTACATAGCCTGGGTTGTCTTGGAACTCAGTCTGAAACTCAGCCAGGCCTCAAACTCATGGCACTCTTCAGTCTCCTAAGTCCTAGGGTTGTAGGAGAGAGCCACTAGTTCTGAGTCCCTTCCCCTCTCAGACTCCTCTCCCACCCTTCCTTCCCTCCCCCGCTTTCTCTTTTTCTTTTTTTGTTTAAGACAAGGTCTAGCCTGGGACTGCCTGAGATTATAACCTAGGCTGGCCTCTTGTAATTCTTCCTGTCACAGGTGTGCACCAGCATAGTTGGTGGCCCTTTTATTTTAAAGGAATGACATGTTAATTAGAAACATTACATTTGATAGACAAACAACAAAATTAAATTGCCCATAACCACCAATAATATTTTGATAAACTGTTGTCATATTTTGACTTTGTATACATATTTTTTCCTCCTGAAAACTGAAATAAAGCCAATTCTGCTTTGTAACTCATTTTGTTCCACTTAACCAAATAGCAAACGAGCGTTTTCCAAGTATTTCCCAATAATGCCTTTGTAAGTAAAGAGGTATGCACAGGAATTCAGACCCTTGGGTTTTATGGCTGTAACTTTCCCTCAAAGATGTCCTGGCTTTTCCAGTCATGGTACATTGTTACCTGGCACAGGTGCCAGCATTTACTCACTAATCTCCATCTGTGACTGCTACCAAGTTGTCACTGTTATAAACCTCTGTGTTTATAATAATGTAGCTAAGTGCACATGCCTTTCAAATCACCGTGCCCCAGCCTTGGGCTGCTTTCTTCAAAAGCATGCTTGAGAAGCGGTGGTAGCTCAGGCTATTTTGAGCATCACTGTTAATTATCTGTTAGTGTCATTTTTTGGAGACAGGTTCTAAACTATGAAGTTCTGGCTGGCCTGGAACTCACTATGTAGACCAGGCTGTCTTCAACAGAGATTCATCCTGCCCCCACCTCCTGAATGTTGGGAATAAAGGCATGTGCCCAGCTAATTTCAGCTATTTTAGCTGGAATAGAATTGTAACAGCTGTGAGGGAAAACAGCAGTGGTACTATTATGTGACAAAGATGCAGGCAGTTTTGCGAACTATTTCAACTGAGAAGAGTTGTGAAAGTTTCCACTAACGGGCAGGAGGTGGGGGCTGTAGAAACAGCTCAATGGCTAAGAGTACTTATTAGTGTCCCAGAGGACTAGAGTTTTGTTCCCAGCACCTATGTTGGAAGTGTCACTTTGCATGAGGGCATGTGGCAGGAAGGATGGCTAGGGAGCATTTTACATTTGTGTTCTTTGAGGCTTTTACACTGAGTAGACTCACTGCATATATAGGTCAAAGACTGGGGGAGGGGCATGATACACACTTAATTCCAGCCCTTGGGACATACGGAGCTCCTACTTCATGGCTGGCCTGATCTTGTGATCTAAACAGCAAGTTCTAGGCTAGCCAGGACTACAAAGTTCTGTTTCAAGAAAGAAAGAAGGAAAGAGGAGAGGAGAGGGGAGGACAGAGGAGGGGAGAGAGAGACACACACAGAGTGAGAGAGAGAACAGAAGAGGATGTCAGATTCCCTGGGGCTGGAGTACCCTGAAAGTGAGCTGAAAGTAACTCAATTTTGTCTTCAGGACATCAGTGCGGTTGTTTGTTGAGGTTCTCATTGTTTTCATTTCTGTGATGGCATCTCATGTAGCCCAGGTTGGTCTCAAGCCCTCCATGTAGCTGAAGCTGACCCTGAATCCCTGACCCTGTGTCCACTTCCACAGTGCTGGTGTTCCAGGCTCGTCACAATGCCTGGCTTCAGTGCTTGCTCTGTCAATCCAACCTTCTCTTCTCAGAGCACACTAAGGAAAATGTAGGTCTGAATTTTGAGCTATTCTGCTGGAAACTTTAGAGGCTGGAAGGTTAATCAGTCACTTCCTGCTAAAACTGAAAAGCAGTTCTGTACCACTGGGGTAATGTTCAGCTGTCTGCATCCAGGGTGACTGAGCTTTTGACTGACACCTGTGCTCTCTGAACTCATCTTGCCTGAGTCTACTGGGAACCTACCAGGAATGACACAGTCAAGACACTTGTCATGGGTTCATCATGTCCCAGAACTCAGTTCTCATTCCTGAGCTCACACAGGAACTGAGAAGCGGTCGCTCTCAGGCCACAGCTCTGAATGACATGGATTCTGTTCAGTTAGATGGTCTGTCTGCGGATTTGGGCTGAGCTGTTCTGAGCTGAGTTGCCATGGCCACTAAACAGAAAAGCCTTCAGCCAGGAAGGGCATGACTCACTTGCTGGGCTTCCCAGGCACACAGAGGGAGCTGCTCCATGTGGGGCCTGAACTCATGTTGTCAGGCTTGGCAGCAAGCACAGTTATCCATCTTGCTAGACTTGATAACTATTCTTTTTCACACTAAGATCATATAAGACAGATTATTTTATAGTTGTTAAGACTTGCTCTGTGGCATGGAATATAATCACCGTTAGAGGTCTCACAGGCTGCTGACGAGAGGTGTGTTATTAGATGGAAGTCTGTAGGTCATCTATTAAGTCCATTTGGTCTATGATGTACTGAAGCTTCTTCATTGACTTCTGTTCAGAGGATTCATAGAAAGATTAATGGCATGATCCTGAAATCATCTACTACTGTTCTATCAGTAACGGTCTAACTTCTTACACCCATTAGCATTTATTGTATGAAACTGGAAGTCCTGATGTTCACTGCATATAGCTGTTGATTTTTCTTTTAAGATTTATTTCCTATTGATACAGTATTCTGTCTGCATGTACACCTGCATGCCAGAAGAGAGCAACATATTTCATTACAGATGGTTGTGAGCCAACATGTGGTTGTTGGGAATTGAACTCAGGACCTCTGGAAGAGCAGCCAGTGCTCTTAACCTCTGAGCCATCTCTCCAGTCCCTAATTTTTCTTAAGAATTGTGTGGTTTGGTCAGGTGGCGCATACCTTTAATCCCAGCACCCCGGAGGCAATGCAGATCATCTGTGAGTCAGAGGCTGGCCTGGTCTACAGAGTGAGTTCCAGGACAGCCTGGGGTACTGAGAATTGCTTGGTTTAACATGTAGGAGCCTTTCCTCTTCCTAGTTTTGTTTTGAGGTCACTGTATTAGTTATCAGAATTGCAAGGATCTCCCAGAAAAGCAGCTCTGACACAGCTGGACTGCAGCTTTCTGAGACTCTGTGGACTTCTGACCTCTCAAGTTAAATGAACTCGAACTCGTGGCTCCATTCCACTAGGCTGGTGAAAGCTTATAGCAAATGTATAAAGTGAGTTCACTACTGATTGTAAAAGGGATACTTTTCAGATAAAACTGCCTAACAATTAAGTTTTGTTGTAGAAAATTTACATTTATTGTATGTAACAAGGGTTAACGACTTCTAAGACCTCTCTTCTTTGAGGTTTTCCTGTGAAAAGCACTTCTAACACATTCCCTGGCAGCACAAGCTTCTGTATAGCACACACTCAACAGCCCATTTTGTGATCTTGCGGTGATGAAGGAGAAGGCTGAGAACAGATCAAAACAGTGCGGGAGGAAGTCCACTGCCAAAGAGCAGCCGCCATGAGCTTGGGATCTTCCACGGCAAGGCGGATGCTGCCCGGCTGTCACGCTGTAACGAACAGGAAGACATCTCATCTTTACTCCTGCATCAAATCTTTCAGTCTTGACACTTGTAGCTAATCTTTATTAGGAAAACGAAAGCTGTAAGTTGTGTCTTTATATAAAATAATAGGTTTCTAAGTTTTATCTCAAAAATATGCCAGAACAGCTATACAGCTATAGACAAGTATTAAATAAATCAAACTCAAAACGAACACGGGGGGGGGGGGGGCATGGGGGGGCACTGCTGCAGTGCAGGGTGAGTGGGAGGTGGAGGCAGCCAGAGTCATACAGTGCATTTGAGGCCAGGGGGGCTAGTTAAGACCTTGTCTATTTAAAAAAAAGTGTGTGTGTGTCGATGCTTGAAAGAAGCAAGGTGACTTGCAGATGTGGGGTGGGAGGGTTGAAACAAGGTCTCATTATGTAGCTCTGGCCTTCCTAGAACTCTCTTTATGTAGACAGGCTGGCTTCAAACTCATCTTAATCCGCCTGCCTCCCAAGTGCTGGGATGAGAGGCATGCACTAGCATGCCCAGAGCGTGGTGCTTCTGTTATGCCTTCAGGCTCATTTCTCTGGGTATGCCCTTCATTTGACAATAGGGAAAATAGCCATGCACCACTCAGGTGGCCACAGCAACTTCACTTTCCTAAAGCCTGAATGCACAGAATTCCAGCTTACTCTTCTAAGAAGCTGTCTGGGGCAGGATGTGACGGCACATGTCTTTAATCCCAGCACTGGAAGGCAGAGATAGGATTATCTCTCTGAATCCGAGGTTAGCCTGGTGTACATAGCAAGCTCCAGAAGAGCCAGGGCCACATAGACCTTGTCTCAAAAAACCAAACAAAAGCAGAAAACCCACAAGCAAAACAAAACAAAAAGCTGTGGTCACAATTACTATGATGTGAACAAGTGAGCACACTAAGGAACTTTGGATTCCTGCCTGAAAATCCACTTCAACCAAAGGTAAAAGGCTAGTTAACCGTCCTCACTAATTCTTTCTTTCCTTCTCTCTCTCTCTCTTTTTTTTTTTTTTTTTTTTTTGTTTTGTTTTTGGTTTTTTTTTCAAGATGTTTCTCTGCGTAACAAGCCCTGGCTGTCCTGGACTCACTTTGTAGACCAGGCTGGCTTTGAACTCACAGAGATCTGCCTGCCCCTGCCTCCTAAGCACTGGGAGTAAAGGCCTAAAAGTGTGTACATCTACACCCAGCTCCTCACTTATTTTCAAAAGCTTACCTCAAACTAAACTCTATGTAGAGATAAACTTTTACCTCTTCAGCATACTTACACATAAGGCAAGTTACTGCTAAAGTAAAACTTACACTTGGTTTGATTATCTGAAGCCATTCATTAAGATACTCCACAAGACTGAGTGCATCTGGGATATTGTCCCCTTCTGAAACAAACTTCAGCAGAACTGCCATTTGGATTTCTTTAGAACAGCTATAAGAAATAAAAAGAACAATTCAGAGTTTTCTCCTGTAACGAGATGCTCATTGTAGTGTGTGAACCTTTACGGTAAGTTAGCTTGCCTCTTGTTAGACAAGAAAAGACATAACATGAAGACAGATTTTTTACTTCCCACTGTCCCACACATCATCTACTTCCCAGGAGCCTGGGAATATGCAAGTGTGTGCTTCATTCTCATCCTCAAGAAAAAAACAGCCTTTCTATCCTTAGCCACCAATACATGAGACAAGTTCTGATCCACTTCAAAAGCCTTCTGTGAGAGTGGTTTTCAGAGGTAAAGAGACTGAAATAGAGTAGCACTAGAGTCTTGTTTAAGACAGTCTTGTGTGGCAAAGACTGGTCTCAACCTTGCTATATAATTAAGGCTGACCTTGAATTCCTGATCCTCCTCACTCCGTGTTCCAAGTGCTAGATTACAGGTGTGGAAACCCAGCTTTGGTTCCACTCCTAATAGTCTAAAGCAGTGAAGGAAAACTGGAAGAGAATGAAATAGTAAAGAGTATTACAGATACTCTGTTCTTTTTTTGAGACAAGGTCTCTCTATGTAACCTTGTCTTGAAACTCTCTATGTAGACCAGGCTGGCCTTGAACTCACACAGCTCCACCTGCCTGACTCCTAAATGCTGGGACTGAATGTGTGTAAACAACCCTCCTCTCACTATTTACTGTGTTTGACATGTTAAGCATTATCTACAATTGTATTTTTTTCGGGACAGGGTTTCTCTGTATAACAAAGTCCTGGCTGTCCTGGACTAGATTAGTTTCAGTTAGATAACTTGGAGGAGCATGTGTAATCATGAAAAAAGAATCTCTATAGAGAGCCTAGAAGTCTATTTCAGAGGTAGAGTGCAAGCATACATGATACAAAGTCCAATCCTTTGAACAACAAATAACTGCAAAACACAAAGGAAAGGAGAAAAGAATCAAAATGTATCACTATAAAACATCAACATAAAGATGGCAAACAAAAACAAAAAATGTTTTGTAAACGAACTGAAAGCAAATGGCAAATGACAAAAAGTCCTTCCTCATCAGTAATTGCTTAATTACTGATTAAGCAATCACTCAAAGGACAGAGATTATAAATCAGGGTAGTGGTGCATGCTTTAGTTCCAGCTTTGAAGGTAACAGCAGGAGGCTCTTGAGTTGGGTTACTATAGAAAGCTGAAGGCCAGCCTGCAGTACAAACAGAAACAGAGGAGGGGCAGAGGGGGGAAAGAGGGAGGGAGGGAGCAAGCAAACAAGCATGGCAGGCAAACAAGCCCCTGTAATCCTAGGGCTTGGGAAGTGGAAGTAGGAGGATCAGAGGTTCAAGGCCAACCTGGGCTACACAAGCCCATAACAAACTAACAAAGCCCACAAGCCCACAAGCTAACAAACTCACCTTTCATCATAGAGTGTTTTTGTGATTCCACCTCCAGGAACTCGAATACAAAGATCAGAATCATTCATCTCAGGAATGCATGGACTTTTTTCCATTTCTAGCCAGTTAAGGCTCTTTATTTTATTCTGAACACTCTTTTGCATAGAAGGTGTAAGCAGGTACCGGAAAGGAGTACTAGAAAAATCATATTATGTTCTTAAAAAATTACAAATATCAAGAGAAATCCTGTCTCAAAAAACAAAACAAGTCAGGTCTTAGAGTAATAATAACAGCAGCCCACATAATGTTTATGAAGTTTGTGATAAAATATAAAAGCTTCTATCTCTATTCCTGGTAAATTTTGTCTCATTTATATATAAGAACTCACTCTGGGGACTGGGATGTCGCTCAGTGGTACACTGCCTGAAGTGTGCATAGCCCTGTGTTTGATCTTCAGCACACTCACAGCAAACACACACACACACACACACACACACACACACACACTCACTCACTCTATGCACAGCATACCTATACAACCTTGGTTGGATCCGCAGCTTGTGTACACCTCCCCACCATGTACAAGCATGAACGTATTGGCATACTAGGGTACTAAAAGAATTTCTACAAATACAAATGGTTGGTTACATAGAGGGAAATAAAAAATGTTCAATGTTTCAGATATTTCTAGTTAACTTAGGAGCTGGGAGTATAGTTTACTCAGTGGCAAAGTGCTGGCTATACATAAGGCTTTGGTTTGAACCTTGTGCAGTAAAGTTTTCTTTCTTATACCCAGCTGTACTGGCCTCAGAGGAACAAGCTAAAAAGATTTATCTACCCACCTACTCTTCTCTTCTCTTTCTTCTACCTTCCTCTTTCTAAATTCCAGTTAGGAAAGGATATACCTGGCCTCTAAATTTCATTTTAATTTTAAATAAACAAATGACCATAGTATAAATCATAATCAAGGCACAAACATACCTGCGAAGTTGTACATCATTACAGTGATATGAATGGCTGCTTGAAAGAACAATAATCCTGGCACACCTGCTACTTTTCACCCAGGCCAGCAGCTTTTCACAGAATGACTTGGATTTATACTTTGGATGCAGAAAGAAAATATAAAATTGAGATCTCAGATATAAAAATAACCAATGTAACCCTTTACCTCCATCTTCATGTAACAATGAATGATATGATTTACTGACACTAAAATGATCAACTCCACTTCTTTTAAACTGAAAACGAATGGCAAAGATCAATGATTTAATATATATTTTTACAATCATAAAATAAATTGTGAAGAATGTAAATCTCTATCCTAAAGAAAATTTCTCCTCTATTTAATCTATTATAACCAACTATAGAGTCATATATGAGGCATTCTTATTATAAATTTCATTATACTATGACCACATGGAAATAATCGGATGAACACAAAGTTATGAATATCTGGCTTTGATTCCTCAAAGAAATCAATACTGAGAAAAGGAAGAGGAAGTCAACAGTTAAAGATACCAATGAAAAGGATGTAACTGCAAAGTGTAACATGTCAGCCTTGACTGGATCCAGAACTGGAAAGATTTTTGGAAATAATTGGGGAGAACTAAATAATTGGATGACACTTCCAAGTCAGTAACAATGGTATTAGTGGTGTAAGGGTTCAGAATGGTGCTGTGGTTGTGAGATTGTCCTCTAAGTCCCTCTTCCCATGACCAGGATGGAACCCTGAGCCTCATCACACATGTAGGTATGCACTCTAGCACACAGCCAACACCCCAGCACCTGTCCGCGTTCCTGAAAGTTGTTTCAACATTTTTTTAATTAAAGATTTTCTTTCTTTCTTTCTTTTCTTTTCTTTTTTTTTTTTTTTTTTTACAATTTATTCATTATATATCCCAATTGAAGACCCCTCCCTCAACTCTTTCCCGCTGTGTCAAAATTAAAGGATGAAATATATTAAGTGCACTTGTCTAGTACCCCAAAGTCCTGGGACTAATCTCTAATGCTGAAAACAACAAAAACAAAACAACAAAATCAAAACAAGACACACACCAAGCAAATAAATATAAAAGCACTACTGTGGAAAAAAATCAAACACCAGGCACACATGCAGGCAGAGCATTGTATACATAATACATAAACAAACAAACACAGCATTAGTGGTATGCGGTGCACTTAAATAACACAAGGCCACATGGACAGAGAGTGAGCAGCTACTGTGGGGTAAAGATCAACCTCACACAGAATGCTGAGGAAAGGACGCTGGACAGAGAGAAACATCTGCTCTAGGAGTCCATCCATCTCCAGAAGGATTTACCGTATCACTACGTGTTCTTAGATGGTTGATAATATTCTATTTCTTGACTTGGAAGAATTTTACTTGCACTCTTTGCCATTTCTGTTTAGGTAAGATAAATTAAAAAGTACTATACAAGAAAGTACTCGAGTTAACTTTCCATTAAACTCTTAACAGCATGCTAGTACACACCTGTGACACAGCACCAGAGAGGCTAAGTCTAACTCTAGCCACATGACAGACTGGTTTCAAAAAAACCAAACATGGACCTTCTGAATTTCTGACCTCCTGAAGGGATAGTGTCTGAAAACACCGCAGGCACCAGTGTGGCTGGAGGCTGGATATGCAGACAGCTACGGAAAGAACTCTCTAACATGGCAATGTTCTTACGCAGTCTCTTGCTATGTATAGCGACAGAGGATACAGAACTATATGGGGCTAGACTATTTTTTCGACAGCCAGGCAGTCTTCCAGGCCCTGACACAGGGCTGTGAGTTCATTCTGAGAGCCACGAAGCCCTGAGGATTTCAAGGGAGAAAGGGTATGATTTGAGTTGGTTTAGATGACCATTGTATTACTCTTGGGATGAGCAATGCTTGATGACATACTTCTGCATAACTGAGCATTGGTGGTTAGAGCGTTTTTTGTTTTTTTTTGGGACAGAGTTTCTTTGTATAGCCCTGGCTACCCTGGACCTTGTTCTGTAGACCAGGCTGACCTTGAATTTAGAGATCTGCCTGACTCTGCCTCCCGAGTGCTGGAATTAAAGGCATGCACCCTCTGCCTGGCTTAGAATATGTTCTGATAAATGATTCACAACGCAAAAATTTCCTGCAGAGGTACTGAACTGAGAATGTGTTAAAATTCATGAACAAACCACAATTCCTTTTAGTATAAAAATAAAATGACAGCAACACAATGAAATATGAAATTTTTTATCAAATCAGACCTTTCCTAAGTATAGAAAACAATACAATATAAACAATTCTTTAGTCTTGATTCTTTTCTGGTTTCTTTTTTTTTTTTTTTTTGAGACATGGTTTCTCTGTGTAACAGAGCCCTGGCTATCCTGGACTCGCTTTGTAGACCAGGCTGGCCTTGAACTCTCATACGGCTGCCTAAGGCATGCGCCACCTAGTCTTGATTCTTAATGCTACTTGACAGTGTTTTGTCACTACACTTTAATGAACTTAAAAGGTAATCATACTAACCTTAATAAAAATGGATCTTAACTGAAGCACCACTAGTTTCCTTGACGTCAATGAATATACTATAAAGAGAAGAAGCAGAAATCACAGGACAGAATACAACAAAGAAGTTGCCAAGTTGCAATTATTAGTATGACAAATAATATGAGTTACAACAGCCTTTGCACTTGATATTTTCAACAATTAAAATACCGGCTTTAGGGATGGTGTTCGAGTGTAGAGATCAAGAACTTAGAACCCACATGTTGTTTGTCAAGGTGATTGTATCTGGAATCAGCTCAAAGCCAAGCAGCTGGCACACCTGTGAACGGTACTCTTGACTGGACTGTTTGAGGTGGAAAGACCCTCCCTAAAGCTGGGCAGCACCTTCTGTTGACAGCTCATATAAAAGGACATGGAAAAAAGGAAGCCTTTGCTTTTTGCCAGCTTGCTCTAGCTGGCAAGTTCGTCTACCCTGTTGCTGAGGCATTTCTTTGCTGGTATTAGAACCTACTTAATTCAGGATTCCAACACAGACCAAAGACCAGCTCAAGCATCTAGCTTCATGGACTGAACAACTGGATTCTTGACCTTTTCTTTTAGACAGTGGCTGTTGGACCAGCTAGACCACACCATGTCAGCCACTCTAATATGCCATGTATTATACAGTCATGGTGGATATGGTAGCTCACTTGTAAGTCCACCTCTTGGAAGGTGAAAACAAGGGACCCTGGAGCAAGCAAGCAGGCTAGCTGGACTAGCTGCAGCATTGGGCTTTAGGTTTTCTTGACTCTGTCTCAATGAATAAACTGAAGGGGGATTAAGACTTCCTGATGTCAACTTCCAGCCTCCCACACATGTGCACACTCCGCTAACATAGGAACACACAAGCATACACACATACACAAGAAAAAAACATACACATAAAAATACGGTTCTAAGCTCTATGCCCTTTCCAACTGCTGCCCTTTATCTCCTTCCTTTAGGGTCTTGTTTCATGGTGTTTTGAGGCATGTCTTACAATGTGCCCAAGTTAGTCTGCTCAAGCAATCATCCTGTTTTACCCTACTAATGTAGCTAGACTATAGGAGTGTGCCACCATGCCTGCTTTACAGGCTATTTCTTTTTAACTTAAAAAACTTAGTTGTTTACAAACTTACTTACAGGCGCACACACACACACACACACACACACACACACACACACACACACACACAC